GATATCACTTTTTTTCTATGTAGATTCAGATTTTAAACAAGAATTGTTCTTTAAAATGTCATAGTTAAAATGGCTATATTACCCAAAGCAATATAAAGATTTAATGCAGTCCCCATCAAAATCCCAATGGCATTTTTTAAAGAAATACAACAACAAAATCATCATATTTGTATGGAATCACAAAATACCCCAAATAGTCAAAGCAGTCCTGAGAAAAAAATAACAAGGCTGGAGATACCACACTACCTGACTTCAATTTATACAAAGCAACAAAAATCAAAACAGCATGGTACTGGCAGAAAAACATACACACAGACCAATGGAATAGAACTGAGAACCCACATATATATGGGCATATAATTTTCAACAAAGGAGCCAAAAACATACACTAGAGAAAAGAAAGCCTCGTCAATAAATGGTGCTGGGAAAATTAGACAGTCACATGCAAAAGAATAAAACTAGACTGCTATCTGTCACCATATACCAAAGTTAACTCGACATGGATCAAAGATCTCAATATAAGACCTGACACAATATATTGCATAGAAGAAAGCTCATGTACTAAATTAATGGACCTTGGATTCAGAGAAGATTTCATGAATTTGTCCTCAAAGACAACGGAAATAAAAGCAAAAATAAAATCGGACGATATCAGACTTAAAAGCTTCTGCACAGCAAAAGAAACCACCTACCAAAAAAAGGAGAGATCGAATGGGAGAAGATATTTGCAAACAGCACCTCTGATAAGGGCTAATATCCAAAACACATAAAGAACTCATACAACTCAACAAAAAGATGAACAATCCAATTAAAAAATGGGCAGAGGACCTGAACAGACACTTCTCCCAAGAAGACATACAAACAGCCAACAAACATAAAACAATGCTCACCTTCACTAGCTATTAGAGAAATGCAAATCAAAAAAAAAATGAGATACCACCTCACACCTGTTAGAATGGCTATTACAACAAGACAAGTAATAGCAAGTGTTGGAGAGGCTGTGGAGAAAAAGGAACCCTCATACACTGTTGGTATGAAGGTAAATTGGTACAGCCATTGTGGAAAACAGTTTGGAGGTTCCTCAAAAAATTAAGAATAGAATTACCATACGACCCATCAATTCCTCTTCTGGGCATCTACCCAAAAAATATGAAAACATTTATCCATAAAGATATATGTGCCCCTATGTTCACTGCAGCATTATTCACAGATGCCAAGACATGGAAACAACCTAAGTGTCCTTCGATAGATGACTGGATAAAGATGTGGTACATGCATACAATGGAATATTACTTGGCCGTAAGAAAAGATGAAACACTGCCATTTGTAGCAACATAGATGGATCTTGAGATTATCGTGCTAAGTGAAATAAGTCGGACAGAAAAAGTCGAGAACCAAATGATTTCACTCATCTGTGGGATATAAGACTGAAAGCAACAAATGAAAAACATAAATAAAAACTAACAGACACAGACAATGTTTTAGTGGTTACCAAAGGGTGAAGGAGGGATGGTAGAAGAGGCTAAAGGTGGTCAAATACAGGGTGATGGAAAGAGAACTGATTCTGGGTGGCGAACACATAATAAAATAGATAGATGATATTTATAGAATTGTATACTTGAAAACTATGTAATTTTACTAACCAATGTCACCCCAATAAATTTAATAAAAGTTTTAAAAAATATGTTCATAGATTAAAAAGCAGATCTTCAATCCTCCTTTTTAAGGTGTTATTTACTGAAAGATGTACATTTTACAAGAAATTTCCATAAGCATAAGGGTATTTGAAATTTTACCTAATTTATACACTTTTTTAAGGAAGTCATGTTTACATGATAAAAACAATTTGTGGTGTAATTCATGTGTAATTCAAAAGGGTCTAGGATATATTTCTAAGAGATGGTCCTTATATAAGCTTCAAGGAAAATTCAACTACAAAACAAAATTTCAACAATCATTTAAGTGAAAGAAATTGAAACAGGGATTTAGGGCCAGCCAATTTATGATCAAGTAATCACTGTATTTTGTCCAGAAACCCTTAGGTAAATTCATTTCTTGCCTGCCCACCCCCTCCAACATTCTACTGATATTATATAATAAGATGCATTTTAAGTGTTAGGGGCAAAAAAAAAACACCTAGTCTTGATATATAATGCTGATTCCATTTCTATGTATTCTCAAGTATGTATTAAGTGCAATATTTATCATTTTTCAAATGCCATCTGTTTGGCAAGAGAAGCAAAAAGAATTTAGTGCCTTCATGTGCCTTGGATAGAGCTGATCTGTCTGCATTTTATAATCAGCATGTGATGTGACCACAAGAACTCTTTTCTTAAAGCTAAGTATAAAAGGTCATTGTATATTTCAGCAAGAGTGAGAAAAGAACTCCAAAGAGATTCAGCTTATCCAGCACCAAGATTCAAGTTAAATACCATAATCATGCCAGCCGTTATTTATCACTCACTCTCTGTCTCCAGTCCAGAAACCAGTCTGCCAGAAGCCCAGATAGCTGGAAAAGCAGCCATGTTTTATCATAGAACTGATCCCTAGAGGCCAATTTAAAGGAAATTTAGAAGTGTTCTACATTAAGGAGGAAAAATCTCCCTAATTTTACAAAAGCCTTTTTTTTACGAGAACAAAGAACATACATTTTGAAATCTAGTGATTGAAAAAGACAATACAAACTTTAAATGTTAACAGGGCACATGAACTGTGTCACTAACGTAACATAAATGAGTTATTCCTTTTGTATCTATGCAGACAACGTTTCTTGAAAAAAATTATGAACTCCACTTTTAACAGGTTGAGCTACTTTATATTTAAAAAATTCAATTGAAAATATCTTTGCAAGGTGTTAAAGTTCATGGTTGCAATCTAATAGTGGAAATTACTAACTCCTTCTTTAAAAGAAATGAAGTTTTAGAGTTTTCTCATCTGAAGGGTAGTAATTGAAAAGATTTTTAACAAACAAACCCACGTTTAAAAAATATCCTTCAGGCCAATTTATTAACTAATTAATTTTGTAATTTCTTCTGAAAACATGCTACCGTACATGTGAAATATATGTAGGTCTTTATTGGGTTCCCATAAATTTAGTAAGGACTAACAAATCTAATGAATGAATAACTGTTGAAGAACAATGATGTAATGCCTGGAAGCCTCTAGGCTGAAACTACCCAATTCCTTTGCCAATTGAACTTGAAATCTGCTTGAGGATGACAGAGTTGCAAAGTTTACACAACTTCCAGAAAAAATGGACATCATCTCCATCGATTATAATTATGTTTGAAATTTTAAATTTAACTATTTTCCATTCTATGGTGTTTAAATAAACTTAACGTCATCTAGGAAATTTGTGTTATTCAATACTTAACAACTTATCTTTTTATGCTAACATTTCATAATTAATTTTTCTTCCCCAAATAAAAGCATCTGGTAAAGACATTTAAATTTATTTTAAGGGTAACTATAAACTCTGTCATTTGTGGAATGTACTTCAGTCTCAAGAAATCTCAATTACCTTAAGAATAATATAAATATCTTACAAGTGTATGTTAAAAGACTGCATACATCTTTTCTAACTTCACCATATAATTCTAACTTCTCAGTTGCTTCTCAAGATTTAACCTGAATATCAAGATGAAATTTTTGTCAGTGTAATGAGTATAATTTTTCAAATATAAGGTTTCTTTGCAATTCAAAGATTTTATACATGTATAAACCATCAACACTACTTATCTGTAATATTTCAATGACATAGCTTCATATACTCAAAAATTCTGCAACAAAGAAAGTGCTATACAACTTTAGATGCTATGACAAGCCCTGGAAAAATAAATTGAGGATGTATGTAATCATGCATGATTATATAATATTGCTTTTAGTTTAAGCTTACTTTTACTCTTATGGTTCAGTGCTAAGTAGTTATTTACCACATTTATAGAATTTAACTTCTTTGTTTACCATTGGTACCCATTTGCTACCAGCACATTAATATTTCACTTAGTGCAATAACACAGAGCTTTTTAGTCGTCTACAGGTCATAAGTTTAATTGCTAATTCAAATTACGGTAAATTAGTTTCATATTGGCTTGACTGACTATTTACACAGATAAAGAGGATAACGCTGATGCCTACCCAGCATCCATTTCCCCTACTATCCCTTTTCTCCTGCCCAACAAAAACTCTACTGGGTTCAGATTCCAAACTCTCCCCTCCATGTGTCTTTGGGTAAGCTTACATTATCCCCTGCTCCAAGGCCAGGTCCTGGTAAGTCTGCATCAAACATATTAATACCATCCCCCTGCCCATGGACTAGTTAAAAAACTCAAGCTTAAGCCACCCAGTAAATGGAATTATCTTTGGCCCACGATTAGAAAAGAAAGTTTTCTCTAAATGTGAACAAGAAAGCATGTTGCCTCAGTTACTGCTGGCAGTCATCTTACAACCACAAAGAACTTCAGGGTAGGGGAGGACTGACACACAAAGGAGAAAAGGACCTAGAGAAGCGGCGTGACAGAGTGAAAGCCTTGATCACCTCCTACTTGAAGCCCACTTGCTCTGGACTTTTTGTTGTGCAATGTAATATATTGCTTCACTGATTAGGGCAACTTATACCATTTTTGTTGGTTTTGCAGCTAAGAACATCCTGCCATTATTATTTTTTTTAACAGAAGCAGCACTTCCAACAATGACTCCCAATTTAAATTAAGCACGTTATTAGAATATGCCAACAGTCACTCACTCATAACTAGCCTAGAGACATAGCTCCAGATTTGTTTGGTCTCCTGAACTAAGGTCACTCTGGTGGAAAAAAACTAAGACATTTCTGCCACTATTAGCTATATCTCAAAATCTTACCATTCAAACTATAGACATAATTAAAGAAGAATGAAAACATTACCTCATTGGACAAATTTTCACTGGATAACAAAAAAAATGACACATTTTTACACACAATTGACTTCTCCAAAGGGAGGTTCTCATTTCTTTTTTCTTACCTCTTTCACACTGCGGACCAGTGAATCCATAAACACAAGCACAGCGGTTGGGTCCAATACAACGTCCACCATTCTGACATCCATTTTCACAGACAGCTGCACATAAACACAGTAAGAAGCTCATTAAATAGGAAACACCAAAGTATATACAGTAGGGTGGAGATGCAGCCAATAATGGCTTATACCTCTAAAACACAAGTTATAGCTCACATTATGCATTTAATAGATGTATGTAAGTATAGTCAGACAAAGTCTACAAGGTTCATGCAAATCACATTGCTAAGCAAGCATTTGGTAAAAGTCTTTTTTTTTAAGTCAGAATCATTAAACTATTGTCTGTGAACACACAGTGTGATATATAGATGATATATTACAGAATTGTACACCTAAAACTATGTAACTTTACTAACCATTGTCACCCCAATAAACTTTAATTTTAAAAATATCAGAATCACAATAATTGGATGGCTCTAATGTTCATATAGTCAGAAAATAACTATTCAATATTCTATTTCAGTTCTATTAACCCTATCAGCTGTTGGGTTGTCGGAAAAGCCATGACGCATTTTTGCAACGAAAAACATGGAAAAAATACATCATGACTTTTCCGACAACCCAATACCTTCTTAGGTAAGGAGGTGAGTAAAATATGGGTAAATAAGGGGAAAAGGAGGCAGACTCTAGATAGCAGAGAGAAGAAGAATGAAAGAAGGGAGAATGTGATATGGAAAAATAAACAGGATATGGCAATACAGAAGCAAAAGTCTGAGAAAAAAAAAAAGCCAAGAAATGGGGGTGGAGGAGTTAAATAAGGACAAGGCAAAACTAACACGTAAAATGGAGGAAAAAATACCATCAATTCAGCAATAAAATGCCAAGAGAAATAACTAATGTGTGAGCGTATGTGTAGGTTAAAAAGGAATAAAAGGGGAAAACCTCACTATGTCAGCACAATAAGTTCTTTCATATAAAATTAAACCACAGTCCAAAATTTTTACGTAATGATGACAAACATGTGCAGCACACACTCTTTCACTCCATTATATTTGTGTTGAGGAGACCAGGATTCGGGGTTCAGTCGGCCCAGAACTGAATGTGAGCAGCTGCCCCCTCACTGCACCACCCTCAATGTAACAGCTCAGCAGCCAAGACACGTGACAAGAAGTCTCCTAAAAGATCACTTTTCAGATTCCTTGAAAAATAAGTATTCCTGTGAACCACACTGACAACTGAATTCAAGAACCATGCCTTCTCTAAGAGAAAACACTGATAATTATAACAGTATGTCTCTCAATCCACCCACCTTGTTGAACAGAAACGCACTGTCCTCCTAGATGAAGAGGCTTATATTCTATGACGTGTGCCCCAAAATAGGGTTTAAGACATTAAACGGAAATGAGGAAGCAATGCATATTTATGTGCACTGCAAGTGAGTTAACTATCAAAAATTAGGAAGGCAATAAATAAACTGATATTTAAAGATGCAATAATGCTATTTCCTTAACCGGGAATATGGAACTGGAGTACCTGCCATCAGCATTCTGAATGCTCGGAGTGGCTTCTGTTCTGCTGACAGGAGCAAGACCAAAACAAAACAAAAGGTGTCTTCACCTTAAAGCATCCCTGTGCCAACGGCCTTATAATTCTTCGTCTGCATCAGGATTTGCTCAAAGGCAAGGGTTCTCTGTACATCTGCACAACCACATCTCCCTAGGAACACCTTTCTGCCTCTTTACCTGTCCCAAGCTGAGTTCTACACAGCACTTACTGTTTATCACTGCCTGGAAACATGGGTTGGGCAGTAAATTAGATGAGGAAATACAGAGGATTAAAGAAAGGGAAGAAAGGTCGTGAGACGCATGAGAAGATGGGAATGGACAGGAACGCTGGAAGAAAACAGACACCTGACAGAGAACTCTCAGTACCGTGTAATGATTGCCAGGATTTGAAGATTTTGATTGCCTTTTAATATAAAAAGGCAATACTCATCTCATGTAATTAATTATACTATGAGAAATTTCCTTGAAAAATTACCAAGCTGTAAGAAATGTAAATGAAAGTCACTTTCCCAGGCATATTCTTTCATTACACATCTGCTAGCCTTTAAGACACGCGTGGGAAAAAGCATCCACGATTGACACTCGGGGTCTATCCCAGGTAAGTGGAGGAAGAGCTTTTCTCAGTGTTTTCCAAAATAGAGCTTCCAAATGCCAGGTAGGCGATCAGGGCTGGAGAAGCCTGGAGTTTTTCCTGGGAAGAGCTCCCGTGGTAGACAGAGATTACGCCTAGTTTAACCTCTCGAGATTAGACTAACAATGCCTCTCTTCTCATTAATTTTTTTTTTGGTTTGGGAAACACAGTTATTGTCCATAAGAAAAAAAATGATGTTAATATGTAACATGGTTTTATTTTATTTTGTTATTTTATATGAATTAAGCAATTTTTTTTCAATTTTTCAATTTTAATTTTCAGTCTGATAAATATCAATAGGTATAACCCATGTAAACAAAAGATCTTCAAGAACCTCAGTAATTTTAAAAATAGGAACAGGTACTGTGAACAAAAGGACAAGAATCCCTGATGCCTCCATTTGCTTGTATTCCTCTCACAGGAGAGTGAGCTCATCCTGGACAGGGACCAGCGAGGTCTGCCTTTGTACCCCCATCATCTACTGTATTTGATATATTACAGACACTCAACAAAACAAAACAAAAAATGAAAATAATCCTGCCATATGTCAAAATTTCACAGCTGTTTGGGAGACAGAATGATTCAGTGGACAGACCAGGAGCTCTGCTGTCCCCAGCACGATCGCATCACATCTTTCCAACTCTCAGCCTGTAAAATAGTGCTAATAGGCTCTACCTCGTACAAGTGTGAGGATTAGATAAAATGGCGTCTAAAACAGAGTGCACGGTGATTGCATATTCAAGTTGTGCTACAAGCCTTCGGACCCTTTCTCTTTTATACTACAGAGTATTTTTGTGAAACACAAGATTTGTTCTACAACATCCAACGTTTCCCCTGAACAGTAACAGCAAAAGAGAAGCAGATAATACACATGAAATCAGAAAAGCAACAAAGATAGAGGTCATTTTCCGACTCTTGAATGAGTTTTATAATAAAAGTTATTTTATAAAATAATATTTTTTTGGTAACAAAACATAACAGAATCAGAAATTTATGTTAACTGGAGTTGGAAAGAAACTTGAACATGCCTAAATTTCCATCGTGGAAAGAATGCTGACCACCCAAGAAGAAAAAATGCTTACACCTGGTATAGGACAAATCAAAAGGCAAGAGAGAAAAAGACATACTACAGATGGAAATATGAGCTGGTTTCCGAACTGCCTACCACAATCTGGGGAGAAGGGAAAAGCGTACCCTGTTTCACATTGGTCGCCTATTAAACAGAACACTGATCACGTACTGTAGAAGCTTGAATATTTTTATTCAATAAATATTCACTGAGCACCTACTTTGTAGGAAGCAATATGATAAGTATATGTTTTTATGAGACAGATTCCTCTACCACTAACATAGGTACAGACACTCGGACATATTATGGTTGTTACTTCTACACAAACATATCAGATAAAAATAGTACGCTACATCAGGTTAAAATGTGAAAAAGAAGAAATGAAAGCCTATTGTTTTGACATAGGAAATATGAATCTTTATTATTGGCTCCACCTTCTCCTTTTGTCTTCCAGGATACCACACTCTCCCCGCTTTCCTTCTATTTCATTGTCTACTCTTTCTCACTCTTCTCTGCTGGCTTCTCGTCCTCTTCTATGACTCAAAATGTTGAGCTGAATCAGAGCTCTGGCTTCAACCCCCTTCTCTATCTACACCAACTTCCTAGCGATCTTTGTCTAGGCCTTTGATTGAAACACTATCTATATGCTCTCAAATTCCTATTTCTGTCTCTGACCTGACCCCTCTCCAAAAATCTGAGTTCATAGGTCTTTCCATTTGGAGGTCTAACAGATTTCCTATAACTATCAACTCCAAAACAGAACTCTTGATATCCCATGTTCTCAATACCATGCAACCCCCAGTCCAACCTACTCCCTGGTTAGTCTTCCCTGTATCAGGAAATGACATCATCATTCAGCCTAGAGCTCCACCAAAATCCTCTAGTTGTCACTATGGATTTTTGCTTTTTCGTTTTTTCTGACCCACCACACCCATTCCATCACAGTGCACTTTCTTCCATAGATTCTGCCTCCAAAACACAAGCCGACTCCAATCACTTATCACACCCTCAATCACTACAGCATCGCTCATCAGCACTGCTGCAGTGGCCCCCTAACTGATCCTGTCATTTTCTCTCTTCCCATTCCTCCAGTTTCAACACAGCAGCCAGAGTGATTTTTTTTTTGTCAGTCAGATCGTATCATTCCACTGCTCAAAATGCCCCAATGGCTCTCTCTAATATTGAGGGTATCATCCAAATTTCTTTCCTGAGTCTGTAAGTCCCCACACCTCCATCTCTGAACTCACCTCCTACCATTATGTCCTTTCCTGCGGCCACAGGCGTCTGCTTACTGTTTCCAAAATACATGCAGTCTGTTCCCACCCCAGTTCCTTTGAATGTGCTTTTCCCTCTGCCTAGAACACCCTTCCCATAGACTTAAAAGCAGAGATTCAGGGCCGGCCGAGTGGCGCGATGGTTAAGAACTGGCTTGGGATGCCAGAGGGCCCCGGTTCGGATCCCACATTATGAGGGCCAGTGACACTGCCCTCTGCAGCCCCTGTGGCAGTGGGTTGCCATGGGCTACCATGTGTAGCCAGCAGCCAGCGTGAGCGGCCAGCAGCCAGCGTGAGCGGCCAGCAGCCGCAGTAAGTAGCCGTCCAGAAGCCGGCGACTGATCTGCCTCGCCCAGGAAGAGCGCAATGATGGTGCCAAGTTGGGCCAGTGAAGCGACGTCCTCCACAACTAGACTGAAGAACAAAACGACAGCAACTTGTCTGTTCCCCTTCCCCCAATTCACCAATAAAAAAATCTTTAAAAAAAAAAACAAAACACAGATTCAGGTTTGTGTTCAAAGTCACCTTCTCAGAGATCCCCAGTGTAAAACAGAGAACTGCTTATCCTGACCAACTCTTTCCCACCTACTCTGCTTTATTCTTCTAGAACTTCCCATTACCTAATTTTAGATATTTGCTTTTTCACCTACTTGTGAATTGTTTTCCTCACCAGAATACAAGCTCTTTGAGGCTGGGGCACCATCTTTTTGCTCACTGATATCCTGCCGGCACCTTGCACACTGTGGGGCACACAGCAGTTCATAAACATGGCTGAATGAAATGAAAAGCATGCTTTCTAAAGAATGCTTTCTACATTCCTGGGAAAGCAGCTAGGCACTTTAAATGTTTTCATAATCCTAATTTTAGCAAATACCAGAGGTGCCAAAAAAATGTATGCTCACAACTTGTATTCATCTTTTGTTATTGGTATATATTGAGTATTACAATTTTAATAGTTTTTTCCTTTTTTAAAATGTGTACAGATTTTTTTTTGGCGCCCTCTGTATATTTCCAGGACTTTTCTGGACTCACAAGCTGAAAGCCGTTACATTTTTTACTCTCAGTACTGTAACACACTCTCTATATGAAACAACTTACTTCGAATCTTCCTTAGACCCCTTCATACGTTGATAATGCACCATTTATCTTACCTTTACCTTCTATTTGCTGACTAATAAACTGTGTTAGCTACATATTCTGCTTGTATCGTACATTCTATTACCCCTGAGATAAATGTTAGGCAAGGATGACTTCATCTCATAAGAGACCTAGGGAACAAATTATCAGATATACATACACTGCTTTTCTAACCCAGTGCTTTTCGCTTTCCCCTGATTGGAAAGTGTGGTAACATCACCATAGTAGGACACCGGGGCGGAAGAACATAAACACAGCTCCTCCAGGAAGAGAAACTCCTTGCCACCCTCCAGCTTCCCATTTCTGTGTGAGAAGCAAGGAAGGGACGTGCCCACAAGAGCTCTTTCGACAGAACCTTCCGGGAAATACAGACATACACACATCTACCCCAGACCGGTAAAGCAGCTGAATTCAGGCTGAAAGTGGCTCATTTCAGGACAGATTTTCAGAGCAAATCCTCTGAAAGATGACTTTAGGCTCTTTCTCCTATAATTCTAAAGTAATTATAATTTTTTACCCCTATAGAGTGAAAAGTAGTTTCAAGAAGGATAACTTTGTCTCTTCTCTGGCTACTGAACTCTATACAAGAGAGATAATCAGCTCTCCCACCAGTGCTTTTGTAAATATTAAAAAAAGGTACAAATCTGCCTGCTCATGTTCTGATCACAACAGACTTTTTCCTCTTTTATGATTATACACTGGAGTCCACTGTATAAAATTTGGAAAAACCTGAATGTTTGGAAAAAGTATAGAAAAAAAAATCATCATGAAAACAGAAACTTTGCTACAATTCCTGTTCCACTGTTGTCCGGCTCTTTCCTGCTCTCACCTGGCCAACCCACACCTAAAAAAATTATTACATTGGCAACTCCTACTTTTTGTAAGAAAACTGGCCTCAATGCACTGTATTCCCTTAACTGCTTTAGCACTTCATTGCCCAAACTTCATTCCATCTCAGATTACTCTAACAGTTTTTGCTATGCTTAAGGACCACGATACAAGAGGACTGCAAATGGTGACCCAAAGGCCAGATCTGGCCCACTGCCTGTTTTTGTATTGCCCATGAGCTAGAAGGGGATTTTACATTTTTATGTGGTTGAAACATAAAAAAAAGATATTTTGGGGACAGTAGAAATTATATGAAATTCAAACATCAGCGTCCACAAGTAAAGTTTTGTGGACTTTTTGTGTTTTGGCCAAAATACAGCCATGTTGTCTCTGGTCACTTTTGCACTACTGGAGCAGAGCTGAGTAGTTGGGACAGAGACCACACAGTCTAAAGTATTTACTGTCTAGCCTTTAGAGAAAAAGTTGTCTTACTCCTGACCTTAACAGAATATTTTTCTTTAAATTGATTCACAATTCATTTAAAATTATTTTAAAAGAAAACTTTATATCACTTATAAACAGACAGCTGTAATTACCTTAACTAGAAGGCAACCTTAAAAATAAGTTCAGCAACCACAAGGAAATACCACTTTACATCTATCAAGACACATATCATTACAAAACAAAACAAAACAAAACAAAACACCAGAAATAACAAGTGTTGGCGAGGATATGGAGAAATTGGAACACTCTTGCACTGCTGGTGGGATTGTAAAATGGTGCAGCCACTATGGAAAACAGCATGGAAGTTCCTCAAAAAATTAAAAATAGAACTACCATACGACCCAGCAATTCCACTTCTGGGTATATACACAAAAGAATTGAAAACAAGGACTCAAATGGATGTTTGTAAACCCACGTTCCCAGCAGCATTATTCAATGCACAGTAGCCAAAAGGTGGAAACGACTCAAGGGTCCATCAGTGAACAAGTAGATAAACAAAATATGGTACATACATAAAACGGAATATTATTCAGTCTTAAAAAGGAAGTAATTCTGACACATGCAACAGCATGAATGAACCATGAACAAATTATGCTAAATAAAATAAGCAAGGCACAAAAGAACAAATGCTGTATGATCCCACTTATATGAGGTACCTCAAGAAGTCAAATTCATAGAAACAGAAAGGAGAATGGTGGGTGACCAGGGCTGGAGTAAGAGAGAAATGGGGAGTTAGTACTTAAGGAGTACAGAGTTTCAGTTCTGAAACATGAAAAAATTTCTGTAGGTGGATGGTGGTGATGGACGCATGGCATGAATGCACTTAATGACACTGAACTGTTAAAAAGTGTTAAAATGGAAATTTTTATGTTACATATATTTTACTATAATTTTTTTAAATTTCAACTGCAACAAAAATAAGTGTAATTTAAAACAAGCTGGATATTCTTGCACACCTAGCACTCAGTTTTTGAATGTTCAAAAGGTGGATGAGCAATTCTTAGGGAGGCCTTGAAGATTAGCAGCAAAACTAGACTCTGCATACGATGAACTGCAAATGAATGAAAAGGGACTTTCTTCTAATTATGATTAAATTTTCTTTAACGTCATGTCCTTTCACTCATGCATACTTAAAAACATGGGGATTCCCATAAGAGTCCCACAGTTTGGGAAACACTAACCTAACGCATTCCCCAGTGACGAGTCGCCATCCAGGAGCTACAATCCTTACATCCTTGCCACAGGTTATTTCTTGATTAGTACAGAATATTCTCCAGTGAGCATGGACAAGAGCTTTGCTGGATTAAAGCTCCCTCTTTCACAATGACATATGATTTCTAAAATATCATTTCATAGCCCTGTACCATGTTACTAAATAACTGAATATATTTGAGCCAAAAACAATTCATAAGACTGGTTCTTCTAGGGTTAATTTCGGGATATCCTAAAATATCATATGTGTGTGTGTGTGCGTGTGTGTGTGTGTGTGTGTGTGTGTGTGTGTGTGTCTGTGTGTGTGTGTGTGTGTGTATGAGATAGATAAAAGAAAAACAAGTAAATATTTACTGGTGATATGTGTCAAATTTGATAAAACACTATGGTATTCAACATCAATACTATAAAACACAAAACCTTTTAAGGAGTTAGAAAAAATAGATAAAAATTAGAAATCCAATTGTAAGTATGGCTTACTATATAAAATTACTTTTTTAAAGGATCTTAGGCTTTACAAGGCCTTAAATTATGACTTAGTATGAAATACCCACTAAATTTGATTATGTCTAATAAATCAAGTCTATTTCAATGTTCCTTACGTTGTCCACAATAAGTTCCGATATATCCTTTCTGGCACTGACAGTGGTCATCTGCACAGGTTCCACCATTCATGCATCTCACACTGCACTGCTGAACTGCAAAGAACAACAAAAAATATATAAAAAATATCAATCACCAAAGTTATAGTATCCTAAATATCCAATTCAAGGAAAATATATCCTACAGAAGTAAATGTTATGACTCAAGCATTTCTTTGTTGTAAATGCACACATGAGCATATGTTACAACATGTTGTTAAGTATGTGCTTAATATATATCAGACTTTCAGTGTTAAAGGAAATAGATATAAGGTGACTAGTAGCATAGTTTGTTTCTAAGATGCAGGGGGCACACAGGTATCCCTTCAGAATGCAAGGGCTCAGTGACCTGGCATCATGGTGGACTTGGCATCCACTCTCATGGGGCTTACATTCTCATAGGGAGACAGACAAAACACAAGTAAACAAATACCACATGTCATTATAGATTGTGATATGTTCTCTAAAGGAAACTGTATTGTGAAGGAGGACACCCTAGAGCCAAGGAGGAACCCAGACACAGGAACCAGACAAGACCATTCTGATGTAACATTAGACTGAGTTCTGAGGGACTAGAATGAGCCAAGCATGAGAAGTACCAGGGAGGAACTTCGCAAAAGACCTTGGGATGGTATAGGGTTTGCTTTGAATAACTGAAAGATTCACATGATTATAAAGAGGCAGATTGGGAAGAGAGACTCTTAGAGAAGCAGGCAGTGGCCAGCTAGATAATGCAAGGCCTCCTCTGCCACGGAAGGGTTTGCGTTATATCACAAATGCAACAGGGCATCATTGAAAGGATATAAATAAGACAGTGAAGTGATATGATGTCTTATGTTTAAAAGATCACTCTAGCTGCTTTGCAGAGAATGGATCTGAAGAGGGCAAGATTAGAAGCTCGGGAACCCATCAGGGGGTTACTACCCTAGTCCAGGTAAGAGATAAAGGTGGCTTGAACCACATGGTAGCAATGGTGATGGAAAGAAGATGGATTTGAGATATAGTTTTCCAGTAGAACCTCCAGGTCTTATTAAAAAGAGCTGATGTGAGATTTTCTGGTCAAGACAGCAGAGTAGTTCAATGCTGTCCTCTCCTCCTCTCAGGACCATATCAATTACAACTGAATGACTGAACAATCATTATTGAAAATCACCTGAAGTCTGACTGAACTGAACCCCTACAACTACACAAGAAGCCACCTTGAGATGGGTAGGAGGGGCAGAGATGCAGAAAGAGCTAGTTCCACACCTGCATGTGACCATTAAAAACTGGGAAAGGTATCTCAGCTGCAGAGGTCTCTCCCTGAGGAGCAAGGGGTCCCAGCCCCTCCCCAGCCCAAGGTTCCAGTGCAGGGGAGACAAGTCCCCATAACTTCTGGCTGTGAAAACAAGCAGAGATTGTGGCTGAGTGAGACGGAGGGCGGCTGCACTCCCAGGCACTCCTCTTAAAGGGCCTACGCATGGACTTACTCGCTCTGAGCTCCAGCACTGGGGCAGCAGCTTGAAAGGCGCCAGGAACACACGGACAGAACTGAGTTATCTAGTTTCAGGGTGAGGGCTGAAGGGGCAGCTTCCTCCAGGATGGAGGAGCTGGTGGAAGTCATTATTTCTTTGTTGAGCCCTCACCCTTCCCTGCATCCAGA